AAAATGAAAATGAAAATGAAATAAAAAATATTCAGACTCGAAACATATCCTGTAATAATAAATATTCAAATAGGAAGTGAAGCAGGTGGCTTGTAAAAAAAAGTAGTAAAAAGTAGTAAAGAGCTTTGTTAGGATAAATGAAAATAGGACATCTTGGGAAACAACACAAAACTACAAAACAAGTGAGAAGGAGCAGGGAAAATGACATGCAATGAAATCTTACATTTATTCAGAAGTAAATCACACCATTCAGTGGGATTTATATCTACATATGAAATATGCATTCGACTGCAGCCAAAGAAGCTCCCTCTCTAAATTAAGGTATATTATACATACTTAATCTTGTGTGACTCCATAAAATGGATGAAGGAAAACACAGTTTTGAACTTGCTTACCTTTCCAATACTGCAGTATCTTTTTAGTTTTTTTTCAGTACAGTACAGTACAGGGCATGCAGAATCTATTTGTGTTGTCCAGTTCTTAAAATCCATGTTATAAGATATGTAATTCAAGGGAATATTATTCTCTGGGAATTTTAGTTTTTGTCACAAGATCACATTTATATGGTCCCACCTTTCTCTCCAAACTTAGTAAGTATGGGACATTTTAAAAACATGTTTTAAACAAGCACTATCCTTATTACATCTCACAAAGTGTTGCTTCAGAAGTCCTTTTTAATAGAAACACAATGGAGTCCAATATGTTATTAAAAGCTTTACTAAAAAGTTGCTAAGTAGTATAAAGTGCATTTTAAAGAAAGTACGTATAAAATATACTTGGCTTGTGATTTTGCTAGACTTACTTTATATCTGTATCTGCTTAATCTGTTATCTGTATATTACCATTGCTGTAATGACATCTACTGGTAAAAACAGTTCCTGAATGTTTAAGAAAAAAAACCTTTTATCAGTAGAATTATACAGTCCTTCAGGACTGATACTCCTTTAATCCTATTATTTCTATATCTTTCTGATGACACCAAAGATACATAAGCCAAACTTTTTGACATTGGGATATACCTCTGGTCTGCTTCTCCCTGGTTAACCATAGTATATTGAATAAAACACAGTTGAATCTACACAATAGGACATGGACAGTGATTTCAAACTATAGTGACTGTGTTTATGTAACACAGTAGGCCAAAATGAATCAAATCATATTGCTTATTAGACTATAGTATGAATTGAGTTTTACTACCACTCACCCAATCCATTTTCATAAACTAGCACCTCTGTTAGCAGAGAAGGAGCTGCAATAGTTACAGATGCTATTGCAACATGGAAGATTGGATCAGTGTAAGAGTGTACGCTAAGTCATATTTTACCGAAGTGAACTTTGGTATCAACCACCTGAAGAAGATTTTCTAATTTTGACTGAGTAGAAGCAAAAAAAAAAAATTAGGCTGATGTAATGCTATGTGGGAATGAGACAGGTGAATGGGAGAAATGCTGTGCAGAGAATGATCAGATAAATGGGCATCACTGCAGTTACTTAATGAACAAAGAAGGAAGTTGCCCTATTACATATCTACATGATTGGTTTAATGTAGCCTTACAATAAAATAGAATAAATGCATTGGGTATTGATTTTTGTCTAATCTACCTGAGAAGGATGACATATAGTTATATAAAGTCCAGAGAATTAGTTACAATAAGGATTCATTTGGAGTCTCTCTTGGAAAACATTTGTGATAGCTTTAAAGCAATAAGAGTCAACTGTTAAGTGCCCTTTATGACTCGAATAAGTAATGATGAAAGAAATGTCCTTCTGGGTTCGGCTCCAAGTGGGGAAGAAGACACTGGAGACATGGAGGCTGCTTGGAAAGATGGTTTAATGGTGGACAGAACCACATGGCTTGAGTCCTGAACAGAAAAGCTGATCACATGCTTCAATGTTGGTGAAGAAGAGAAGGAAGGGCTGAGATGCTGAGGCCCTGGTTTTATGCCCTCTCTGGCCTTTGATCGTGAGCTTGTATTCTGATTGGTTGTCAGACTCCCATGGGGCCATGCAGGGGCAACTCTCTAGGCTGCGTTTTGAATCCAGGTTTGGTTGAGTTCTCAGATGCCATGTAGTGAGTTGGGTAAAGGGCAAATATTATCATGCCTTAATCCCATCTCCTGGAGCCGAAGGGGAGAACCCTTTATTATGTAAAGGGACTGGGTTGGCCTTCCTAATGGCCCATTGACAAAGTGGGTTGGGGCAGGAAGCTGCAGGAAGCTATTCTCTCTTTAAAACATATTTCTTCCTTTTCACATCCAGGGAAATGTAATATTCTGCCTTTTCAATATTTCCTAGAATATTTATTTTTTTTCTGGGAGAGGGCTGGGTGATAGCTTCCTACAGTAATAAATGGGAAGGCTTCGAGGAAGGCATGTACCCTAAGACATTTTGTATTATCTATTTACTTCTGCAATTTTTAATCTTGCTATATTAAAGTATAACAAAGCATAAAGTCTTTGTAGTCATAAAAATCTTGGTTATTTCTTCACATCTCCAAATAAATATTTCTTATATAAAGTTATGTATGTATAATTCTTTTCTAAATTAGAAAAGAAATTCTCAAATATTTGGTCTTAGACTCCCTTGCATTTAAAAAAATAATTTGAAGATCTCAGAGAGCTTTGGTAAAATAATATTTACTGCATTATATATTAAAAGTGGGCAATTTTAAGATATTTATTTGACTTTGCAGATGTCCTGAAAAGGTGTCAAAGATCACTAGGGATCCCCAAATCACACTTTGGGAACCAATGAGATACAGAAAATATTCCAGGGGAAAAAAAATGAGAAACAGGTGGCATGTATATAGGTCACCAGTTACCAAAATCACGAAGTTGTATGATCAGAATGATACTTATCATGTATCTCATCAAAATAGAATATTAGCTATAGCATACACAGAACCAGTAAGAAGCAAAACGCTATGTTCATTTTAACAGGTTTCTCTTTGTTAAAACTCCAGATTCAATTAGTTGGAGGGATCATTAATTGAACTAACAATCAAATTCTATGCATTCTTACACAATTAAAATATTGGAACAGCTTATTATCTTGCATAATATTGAAGCTCTATCTTAATTTTCATTGATTTCAATTAAACCAAGATCACAATTACTTTGTTCTATTGATTTAAGTGGAAACAAAATTCAATAAATTATTCATGAAATCCATTAAAACAATGTCTACTTGTCTAAATATTAATAGAATCTAAATCAAAGTTCAAGATAGTTTACTGTGGGAATAATTTCTATAATCAAAGATTAGTATAATCGTGAAAGAAATTCAGGTCTGCATCTTTTAAAACAATAAACCATTTTTTATTCCCTAATGACTAATCATTTTGGGGATAATTCTAAAGTCTATATTTGTCTCTATTTCTGAAATACAGGACAAAATTAAAAATACTTTAATTAAAAAAATTAATATACACTAACTTATCTTGTTCACAACAGCATGAAAAATAATATCTGAGGTACCTTGGGCAATGTTATTATAAGCATAATTTTGTTTTCAATTCTATTTTTGCTGTTCTGTATACAGGGTTTTTTTCCAAGAGATGTGTTGCAATTGGTTTTTGGTGGAAAATAACTCATGCATCACCTCTTGATACATTACTGAAATAACTTGATAAGAGAAGAGAAAGAACCACATTGCTATATCTGTTTTATAAAACATTATTTCACTTTAGGAAACTGGATATAAATCTTTGTCACTATTATATGCTGATATGTTGATTACACAACTTTAAACCAAGGATTAAACTTGGTTGCTGCTGTTGGTTTTAAGAGCTTTCACAGCAGTTTTTAAGCCCATATCTAGTTGACTTTAAATTACTGGTGTTACTTTGAGGCCCTTTCTCTTTATTGATGTGTTGGAACATTGAAAATAATAGAAATTCCAATATCTAGTGAAAACTGTCAAATGGTTAGTTTTACCAAACAACAACAACACAAAAACCCCATTTTGTAATGTCCCAGGAAACTAGGAAACAGTCTATATATGTCTGCTTTCTAAATCAACAAGCCAGCTTTGGAAACAAGAATAACACTGAAATAGAGGTGTAGTGATGGTATCTTGAATTCTGTTTATTGTTGACTTTTTCTCAAGTATACAAATCAGTTTCTGAGTTTTACCTGCCAGATCTCTCAGTGCAAAACACTGGAATATTAAAGCATATTGTTAATTGACCAAGTGATACTAAGAGTAGGAAATGCTGCAACTGATAATTAAAGCCAACTCTGGAAAACCGTACATAAATATTATTAATTGTATTAATAATTTACCTAATACGTGCTTTAAATATTTGCTTTTCTTCCTAAGATACTATTTTATTTTTCCTTTTCTTCAGTTTTTCTTTGATGTCTCCAAAGAATCTGGAGACCATCGCTATCTGAAACTCTTAACAGAAAAGCAGAAGAGGTAAATATGTAATACTGAGCTGGCTAAAATCTGTATGTATGTGTGTGTGTGTATGCATGTTATGCATGCATGCATGCATGCATGTATGTATGTATGTATATGGTTACTGAAAGCAAATCGGATTGCGCGCGTCTTTACTAAAAAGGAATATTTAACCTCGATTCACTAAGCTCAGATGTGCTGACTTTCCTTATACACATTCGCTACCCATCATCCACCTCTTTTTTTTTCCCCTTACAAAAAAAAATCTCAAAAATTAGTAGGACGTGATGACGACATGCCCTGGCTCATTCTTTGTTTACATCCCTCCTCTTTCCGACCCCTCCAAATCCTCGTTTGCGGCGAGATTGGCTGTAAGGGATAGCAGAGACATTCGCGATCTGCCTCCTGATTGGGCCGAGCTGTCATAAAAAAGAAGGTGGAAAGCAGCTGGGGGTGCGGCTTTACGTGGTTGCGCTGTCCGCTGATGGTCAGTGCGGTAGAACCTTAGTTCGGTTGCTTCTCTCGTAGGCTGAGGAAGCTATCATTGCTTCGCGCCGGGTCCTGCATTTTCGTCTTGTGTGAACCCGCGTCGGTGTGAGGAAGTCCTCTTTTCCTCGAAAGCAAGTAGAACAGGCGGAAGGTGGGAACGAGGAGGGAGCAGAGCATGGCGGCATCCGTGCCAGATAAAAACATCAAGAAGAAAACTGAGAAGAAGCTGGCTGCTCGAGAGGAAGCCAAATTGTTGGCCAGTTTCATGGCGGTCATGAATAACATGAGAAAGCAAGTAAGTGGAGAAAGCAGGACGGGCGGAGGTGAGGTGGGTGAACTCTGGGCCTCCCGTAAAGAACCCTTGGCGGAGCCTGTCGCTTTGCGGGGTCCAGCAAAAACCCGGCGCTGGGGTGGGGACTACGGGTGGGATCCCCTACTAGAAACCGAGGGACCAAAGCTATGGCAATTCAAGACTCTAGCGTACTGCCTTCCTAGTGTGGAATGTCTCTAAGAAAAGGGCCCCGTTTTGAAGGGATTGACTTGGCATTCTTTTGTTATTTTTCCAAGTCTCGGCTAGGGTTCTTCCGTATGGCAAGCGAGGGCGGGGTGCCTGGTGCTGCCGGCATAAAGCTGCCGGTTCATTGGTGGGATTTGAACTAGGAGCATCTTGGTTTATCGCTCAATATCTTACATTAGTGTAATTATAGGATTCTTTTTCATTCTGATATTCTAGAAGAATTGTTAGGGTGTGGTTCTATAACCCAGTCTGTTCCATTTGGTACTCTACTATTAATTATGTTAACTTGCTAGCTAAGGTACACTGGAAGAAGAAAATACAATGTGCTCTGATACTATCCTGCAGGTAGTAAATAGAGTTCCATCTGAGCAACTTTCATATTGTGGAGTTCAACTTCCAGAATTCGCCAGGCAGCAAGATAAGGCTTAGTGAAGAAAATGAACATTTCTACCAGTTTCTTTGTATATAAGAAATCTATTTCTGTATCATAACTTTATGCTTTTTTTTGGTTCTATTTTAGAAAACGCTATGTGACGTTATATTGATAGTCCAGGAAAGGAGGATTCCGGCTCATCGTGTTGTACTTGCTTCTGCCAGTCATTTTTTTCATTTAATGTTTACCAGTAAGGTTTTATTTCCAGTTCAGCTTTTAATAGTCTCTTTAAATTATCAATTTATTATCCCTAGATTTGCAAAAAAAAAAAAAAGGGAAGAACATTTTAATTAGCAGTATTGAACAAGTCTTGTTACTGTAATTCCCATAGTCCTAATTAAACTATGGCATTACTGCCTTCATACATTACTTTATTTTTCTATAGATAAAAACTATCCATAGAAAATTATCAATAGATAGTTGGAAAAAGTAATGTCTCCTCCATGACAGCATGTTTTGTGAGAAGAATATGAAAATAGTTCTTCAGGATATAGCCTAACATTCCATCCTACATGTGGCTGGGTCACCAGCTATTTCTAAATTGGCCACAAATAGGTGATCAAATGCAAATAACCATTGTGCCATTGCCACTGATTCAGTTGTGCTTCTGGAAGACTGTCAGAACGTTTACTTTGAAACAGAATGCTGTTTGGGGATGAGTAGTTGTCCTACTGGTAAGGACTGCTTTACTCAGTCTCCTCAGCTTTTCTACTGTTGCTAAGCTATTATAGTACACAATGTTCTCATAAATGTACTATGCTGAGAAAGGGAGAGTGAACTTTGATGCATCCCTTCTTACTTGTGACCAGCATCCCCTCCTGCCCCAAAACAAGTTTAATCAGGATAAGGATTATGGGTCTGGCTTGATACAATACTGCTATTTAGTCTACTGATCCATAATTCTTGATAGCTGTAAATGTAATAGATGTGGGTTACTGCTAAATAGTGTTTGTGAGTAATAGTTCTGCAAGTTTTTTTTGAAAAAAACTCTTGATATTATCTAATTATAGCAAATATGATTGAATCCAAGTCATTTGAAGTTGAATTAAAGGATGCTGAGCCAGATATAATTGAACAGCTGGTGGAGTTTGCTTACACTGCACGGTAAGTATATCACAATATTCATTATTGCTAGTCACCTAAAAATACAGATCTGGAAAATTTTGTTTATGTGATTACATTGGGCATTTATGTACCAAATATTAGTATATAGGTATATATAATACAGAATGTTATTATAAATATTGAAAGAAATATTCACATTAATTTTATAAGCAAATCTTATAGTTGTATTTCTCTGCATATTTTTAATTGTTAAGGTTAAGAAAATCTTCTCAAGGATGCTTTTTTAAATGCTATTTATAGAATTTAATATATATGTGTCAGGTTTTATATGTATATTTGTTAAAATGTTTACTTGTGTAAACACTGATATTTTTTTTTCAGAATTTCTGTGAACAGCAACAATGTCCAATCATTATTGGATGCAGCAAATCAATATCAAATTGAACCTGTGAAAAAAATGTGCGTAGAATTTTTAAAAGAGCAAGTGGATGCTACAAATTGTCTTGGTAAGGCATCTCCCTTCTATTAAAGATATTACAAGATTTCCAAAGTTTAGAATGAAGAACTTTGTTCACTGTGTATTATATTTTGAAAACTTTTTTTTATAACTAATATATAATTTTGTTAAGATTTAAAAATAATGTGCATATTTTAAAACATTGAGGCTTTTAACTGCTTTTTGTTTTTGAGAATCTATTTAGTGTGGTTAAAAATTAGAAATTGGGAGACTGAGTTCTAGTAGAAAACCAGCTGGGTGATTTTGGGACAGTCGTTTCCTCTTAGCCTAGGAATCCGGCATTGGCAAATCGCTTACACAATCTTGTCCAGAAAACTGCAGGAACTTGTCCAGGCAGTTGCCAAGAAGCATAAAGGACTCAAAGGCACAATAAGATGTGTATTTTATATAATATCTCATAAATCTAGCACTTTTTTCCATCTTGCATTAGGTATAAGTGTATTAGCAGAGTGCCTTGACTGCCCAGAATTGAAGGCCACTGCAGATGATTATATTTATCAGCACTTCACAGAGGTGTACAAGACCGACGAGTTTCAGCAACTAGATGTTAAACGTGTGACACATCTCCTCAATCAAGATACTCTGACTGTAAAAGCTGAAGATCAGGTAATTTTTTTTAAAAAACACCTTTTTAAAAACCTCATGTCTTCCTCAATCTCAGGTCTTCTACCAGAAGCCTGCACAGTATCTTAGCAATTCCTAGAACTGCATTCTTCTGGACAAAGAGCTCTGATGTCATTCCTGGGATCTGTTGGAGCCACACTTCCAGCTTAGGAGTCACAGCTGCAAGTACTTCTACCACCATTGGGACCACTTTGGCCTCTACTTTCCGCATTTAGTTCTTTCTTCAGGTCTAGTTGATGCACAGTTGTAAAGTTCCATAAGGACATGACATTCTTAATGTTAGCAGTTAATGTAGAACAGCTATTATTAATATCAACATTTGTTTTCCAAGTTTCTTTACCAATTTTGAATGAAAAAAAGAACTCGTCAGTTAAGATTGACAAGTGGTGATAGAAGAAAAAATGTCTCAGGTAATAGTATCTTCTTCTGCTAAATAGCCAAAGTTAAGTTTGGAATTTGAAGGGGCGCGTTAGAGTTTATTTTAAATAATATTTTCTTTGCCATTTCTAAAATAGACTGCTATGTACTGATATATGTGTCTAATTAAATTTCTTTTTCCTAATTTCCAGGTTTATGATGCTGCTGTCCGCTGGTTAAAGTATGATGAGCCAAACCGTCAGCCCTACATGGTTGATATCCTTGCTAAAGTCAGGTTTCCTTTAATTTCAAAGAATTTCCTTAGTAAAACTGTACAGGCAGAGCCACTTATACAGGACAACCCAGAGTGTCTCAAAATGGTTATAAGTAAGTTTATCATCAAGATGTTTTCTCAACAGTCTAATACTGATTTCCTTTATGAACTGCTTATTTCACCACATAACCTATGAAAATTCTTGGAAAAGAGCTAATTTTATCTTCAGGGTGGGTAGGTAAGAAACCAAGTGTCTTTTACATTCTAGCTCCCCCCTTCCAAGAACAATGCTCTCAAACTTTAGTCCTTCTTTCAGGGAAATCTGTCATTTCACAGGACACTCTTTGGATTCTAAAAACCTCTTTTAAGAAGCCCCACACCTGCTTTGGTCAAGGATGATTTGCAGTACACTGACAAATTCTAATCATAAAGCAAGTACAGTCATGGCTGTGAATGCTTTTGATAGTTCCTTTTAGATTCTACTTAATGGAGCTTGCTGTTTTGTTCAGCTACACAAAGCATATTACACATTTTAGAATGCTAATTGTGCATTCTTGAAACAGTTTAGCTAGTTATAGTACAGGTTAGAGAAATTCAATGAATTATATGTTGATCTGCCTTTAAATATTTCAGGACTCAACTGATTTAGGTCAAAGAGGCTAGATTGTTGATTCACTATGGTAAATCTATATCAGCAGTGTTAAAATTCTTCACTGTCTTTCAGTTTATTTTTAGGCACAATTTGAATTTATCTTCTTGAACTACATGGGATTAGACAATCCAAAATGCTGCCTTAATCCTTAGTTTCTTTTTTTTGTCATGAGTGTTTTCCTTGTGAAATTCTCTCCATAGAATGTCCAAATACAAGGGTTAGATCCATCTGTTTGGCAATATTCCCTAATGCAGTCAATTCCCCTCCCTCCTTTCCTTTGAAGACAAGTTGGTCTGGTACTTTGGTGCTCTCTATATAGTAGTAATTGGATAGTAATGAAACTTCAGCTTTAGCAGAATGACTGGAAAGAAAGAAAACTGTTATGGCTTTGCTTTCTGAGAGCTCTGCATAAATTAAAACTTTTGTTTAATTATTTGTGTCAACAAGCAAGGGTGAGGAAATAAGTGCTCTACAGAGGTAAGAAACTGATGCACTCTTTTACTTGATGAAGGTGTACATAATACTTATTATGCCGCCTTATGTTGGAAATAAAGATGTAACTTTGAACTGCACAAAATCAGATCCCTCTCCTCCTTTTTAAAAAAAAATAATTAGGTGGAATGAGATACCATCTCCTTTCTCCAGAAGACAGAGAAGAATTGGTGGATGGAACTCGTCCAAGAAGAAAAAAGCATGAGTACCGTATCGCCTTGTTTGGAGGATCACAGCCGCAATCTTGTCGGTATTTTAGCCCGAAGGTAATTCTGATCTTCCATTGTTTGTATGGATTAGATGTACTATATAAAGGTATGTCTTTACTTAATGCATCATCGCATTTTGTGGCTTTATGTTACGGTTATTTTATTTTTATGTCAAGTAGAGCCTAATTTATGCACCAAAAAGAGAGAAAAGCTGAGGGATGTACTTAAATTGCAAGTATTTTCTATTAATATAATCTCTTTTGTTTACATGTTTGATATTGCACAAAACAAAAAACGTTTGTTTTTCCTAAAGTAGATTAGGACAGATTGGACTCCTAAAGGATGTTATACTGGGAGATTACAGTTTCTAAAGTACAGTTCTATTTTGGCATAGGTTGCTACAACAATTCAACACTTTTTAAATATATGTTATTGTTAGGGACATGGGTCTGACATAGTTCACATGATTTATTTAACATCCATGATGTTAAAATTGAAAATTCCAGGCTCCATTGTGGTTTCTCACTTTACTATATCATTTTTGAGGATAACATGAACAGAAATATTCATGTTACCCCTCAAACTCTTGACAGAAAATGGAATAAAAATAAAATATTAATGATCTCAAAACTGAAGACTTTTTTTAAGCACATAGTTGAAAATATTCTATATGACTTTGATTTATGTCTATACAGGATTACAGCTGGACAGATATCCGATGTCCCTTTGAAAAGCGGAGGGATGCAGCTTGTGTTTTCTGGGATAATGTAGTTTATATTTTGGGTGGTTCCCAGCTTTTCCCTATAAAACGAATGGATTGCTATAATGTTGTTAAAGACAGCTGGTATTCCAAACTGGGTCCTCCAACTCCTCGTGACAGCCTTGCAGCATGTGCAGCACAGGGCAAAATTTACACATCCGGTGGTTCAGAAGTAGGTAAGACACATTTACAGACATGGCTGTGGGAACATTAAAAGAAAAGCTACATTTGGTACTGTATTGTTGCAAAATATTTCTTTCAAAATAAGTAGAATACAGTATACACTACTATGCCAATTTTGAATCTACATGATAGCACAGTAATTCTACATGTAATAATTAAACTAAGGTTTTACAAACTTGGATTAGTTTCTATATATACAGTATACATACATATATATTTATATGGGAATAATTTTCACTTAACGTACTGGCCCTTAGCTCATTGGATTTAATAGCACTATTATTAGTTTCATTAATGTGCTGATAAACATGGGAAATGCAACTTTTTTTTTGCAAAACCTTTTGATGATTTTCCTGATTATATTTTTAGAATTTTTTTTCTTGTACATGTGCATACTTGTATAGATTTCTTTTATCTATCCAAATACAAAACCAAAAATATTTTCCTTTGGGTTTAAATTCTTTTCTCATTACTCATTTCTCATTATTCAAGCCTGTATTGGTCACAAGACACATGCCCAGTATAATCACAATATTAGCCATGACCCAGAAGCATTATGTTGGAGGCTGTCAAATAATCTGTTTTATCTTTTTCCTGGACTTCTGCTGTAGGAGTAGCATGTAATTGGAGCCATTTTTCCACTGGCCTTTCCATTGGAGAACCATTTTCTATGCCTCTTGAGTCACTCAAGAGACTCAAGAGCATGTATATCTCAAGTTTCCTCCCTCATAGCATGGCAAAAAGAGTCTTAGATTTTGTTCACATTAAAGGGGACACACAAACCACTATTTCTCATTTGTTTTCTCTGTGCTTCTACTGAGAATTGCAATCAAAGCTTTTTTTCTTCCATTAATCAAATGTTGTCCTCAATATAAGTAATCTGATTTGGTGTTGAGAAATTGAGGAGATGTCAAGTTAGGATTCCCTGGAAATAGTGTGTCAAAATCTAGGCCATTATTGAGAATTTATTGTCTCTGTTATTTGCCTACTAAGAATATTACCTTAATAAGCAGACAGTCTCATTGTCTAAATAACTTTTTCATTGTTGTTTAAAGGAAATTCTGCTTTATATTTATTTGAATGCTATGATACAAGAACAGAAAGTTGGCACACAAAGCCCAGTATGCTGACTCAGCGATGTAGTCATGGGATGGTAGAAGCAAGCGGCCTGATTTATGTATGCGGAGGAAGTTTAGGGAACAACGTTTCTGGAAGAGTCTTGAGCTCCTGCGAAGTTTATGATCCAGCAAAGGAAACGTAAGTACTGCCTTTATTCCTTGTCAAAAACTTGTATCAGGAATGGGTTTCTTCACATTGTGAAATGGTAGAAAAGTTTGATTTCTAACTTGCATACTCACACTTCAAAACATTTAAACTACTTTATTCTTATATGGGGAGGAAAATGCAAAAGAGCCATCCAAGAACCTCACTCCATTTTAAGTGGAGCTGCAACTCATCTCCTGGGCTTTGTTGAAATAAGAGACCTAATAGCTAATTATAACATTTCTCGTTAAGTCTTAATCACATTTAATGTAAAGGAAAATATGGTATGAAATTGTGCATTTTAAATATTTGCAGGTGGACTGAGCTATGTCCAATGCTTGAAGCCCGAAAAAATCACGGTCTCGTTGTTGTCAAAGATAAAATATTTGCTGTAGGGGGGCAAAATAGCTTAGGTATGTATTAATAATTTGTTCTACCTAACTGCCATGAGGATATATGGACTGTTGCAGTATTAAAATAAATAAAACCTTAAGTTCTGAAAGATAAAGACATCAACCATCTTGATGCTTGTAGTATGGGCTTTAAAGGGCTGTTACAGTATTTCAAGCAGATTGGTGTAAATGATAGAATATTGTTCAGCACCAGAGGGCTTAAACGCAATCGAAAGTAGTTCCCTAAAATTATTCTATCCTGATTCTCCATAAATGGGAACTATCAAATGCCCTTTATACGGGAGGTTTTTTTTCATATTAATGATAAGTTAAATGTCATATAAATAAAACACAGATACTGGTTACACAATAGTGATTAAATATTTCCTTATAAATATTCTCATAATATTCCTAACAAATTAACAAAATATAGTTTTAATTTTAATATTCCTAATCTTTCATATCAATATAATACATATTCATTAATTTGCAGGTCTGGATACTCATTTTCTAAATATAACTTTATATTCCCAATATATCCTGTTTATATATTAATAGTCTTTTATGTTACAGTTCCATACCTATTTATCTGGAAATAAGAATGATAATATTTTTGTGGCTTTATGATTCCATTTTATTACATCCTCACTACTTATGGAAATTTTATATTCATGATGGATAGCTCAGGCATAAATCAATATTCCAATATTTTCTTAATTTTAAATAGAATTTCTAAATGAGGTTCCTTTACAATATTAAACATTTAAGATTTTTAGATTATATACTCCCATGTATTAGAAGTAAATTCTATTAAGCCCTGAAGATATATTCAGGGTTTTAAATATTTCACAATAATTTTACATCAATTTTATATAGTTTGAAAGTTACTTTTCATCTCTAAGACCTCTATATATTTTTACCTATTTCTGTAGTAGACTAAATGTTTCTTTAAACCACTCAATTAACTTATAATTTATTATATTGGTAAAATATTTTAAATTTCTTGGGGAAAAAGTTTTAATCCTAAAATGGTAATGACAAAGTTATATTGGCTTAATAATTATTTTCTTTCTTCCTTATAAAGGTGGCTTGGACAGTGTCGAGTATTATGATATTAAACTGAATGAATGGAAGATGGTTTCCCCAATGTCATGGAAAGGTGTAACTGTAAAATGTGCTGCTGTCGGTTCCACAATTTATGTTCTAGCTGGATTTCAGGGTGTGGGTCGCTTGGGGCACATCCTTGAATATAACACAGAAACTGATAAATGGACAGCAAATGCTAAAGTTCGTGCTTTTCCAGTGACCAGCTGTTTAATTTGTGTAGTTGACACTTGTGGAGCAAATGAGGAGACATTAGAAACTTAAAAACTTTAGGATTATCAAAAACTACTCCTGAAAGAAATTGTTATTCGTTTTGTTCTCTCTTTTACTTGTATCTGGGAAAAAATTGGAATGTGATTTTCATTATTATTTTCATTGAGTTTTCTCATTTGAATACTGTTCTTTAGTGCCCCCGCTATGCATTGGAACTATTTCAGTTTCTCCAAATGAGGAGTGAAGAGAAATGAAAATTTCTGAAGATGCCCATATTTTTTCAAAAAACAACTGTATAATGTGCATTGCAAATCATTTCAAAAATAATCTCTACATTAATCTTCATTTTTCATTAAAAGCACTGACATTCTTCAAGTAGAAAACTCCCGAAACAAAGTATTAAGCTATATGTTGTTCAAACTAGTGGTCAGGATACCATCTCATCACAGAATTCAAGTTCTGTAGTTTTGTTTCCAAAAATTGAAATAGTTAATTCCAATACTATTAATCTTCTCTTTGTACTTAACTTATTGCAGTAACAAAGTATTGTTATTGTACATGAGCATTCTATCTCTTTAAATGCTTGTATCACATAACCAAAGTGATATGTGGAGGAAGAGGCAATAATTTCCCAAACAGACAGTCTTAAATCTGTACAAAGCTTTATTCTCTTGAGTGCAGATCCATTATATTCTTTTAAATATGCATCTAGGAGCTGGTGATTTTGGTAAGTGCATTTACTTTCTGAAATATTACAAGTATAAACAAAATAATATGGTAAATTTATTTTATTTGCAAGTGGATGTAGATAGGGATATTACAGTGGAAAATTTCATAAATGTTTTTTGCAAATTCTGTTTTAAAGTTTTGTCCTGAACTGCAATCAATTTTATTTTTGTCTTTTGTGTATAAATTGAAATCTATGCTACTTAAAATCTGCATAGTTTTGATCTGATTTCCTTCCTTCAAGCTTTCAAAAATCCATAATAATTTCTTACATCTCAATAAGATTGCAATAAGGTTTCAAAACTATATATGTACTTTAAAAGTACTCATTTATAAACTTGCATATGAGAAAGTTGAATGATAGCACTTATAAAACTTGGGTATAAACATACTGCCTATTTTTTAACATTTTTTGCAGTTAATAGAGAAAGAGAGAGAGACTGATTTCTTCTAGATTGAAATGTTCTATATTGAACATGGTATATCTATACGTATCTTTTTAGTATTGGCTTTTTGTCATGAAAATCGGAACTTAGTACTTTAAACAGCTCTGTATACTTGCAAAGAGGGATACAAATTTAATTTTCTTACAACTCCTTTAAGATGAATTTAAAAACAATTTTTTTAACAAACTGAAGTGCATTTTTCCAATTAATAGATTGTTCAAAAATTAAAAAAATATTGTAAGCAATGAGAATGCAGTAAGAAACTTAATCCACCTCATTAACAAATAAGGTTCCTTTATGAAACAGGGACATTTATAAAATTAATGTAAACGAATGCAAGTTTTCCAGAGGTTTACATTTCTCCTTGTTATTTGTTTAGGCAGAATGTGATAGATCTGTTTCATTGTGAATTCTCACTTATTGTAATGTTCATTGTTTATGAACATTATGTGCAAAAAAAAATTCTTGTTTTTGTGTACTGGCCATCTATTAAAAAAAAATCTTGTATATTGAATAATTCTGTTATGTATCAGAATTTTGAAAGTGAAGCAAATACCTCAGTGAGGCTTTTGTGGTCAGTTAATTTTATTAAATATTTGTTCCTAAAATGTGTTGTTTTTATTTACTGTTTATCCTATCAATGATCCAAGCAATTGCTACCCATTACATAATACCCCAAAGATATTTTAGAGAGCTTAAAGATCTGGCTGTTTCTTCTGGCCTTAACCAAAGATGGCTGAAGTTTCCCAATTCCACCAGATGTTGGTGCTATGGGCTAATGAATTTACCATCTTTTTCTTTTCTAGTCTGGCTCTATTTTTTTGTTTTTGTTTATTGTACTATGAGCCATCCAGAAATCACCCTGGTGTCAGGCAGTAAAGCAAAGTAAAAAAGAGGTAACATCATGTACTATTGATTCATATTCTGTTGCAGCAATAGAAATTATAATCCTTTTCTTAACTGTGTCCCATACACATAGAAAATTGTTAAATAGTACAAGATTTGACAAAAATGTTAATGGTTGAATCCACTGTTTTGGGTAGAGATTTTTCTAAGGGTACTGAGTACCAGTTTGTGAGATGAACAGATTCCAACATCTATAGCACTGATTTGTGGTTTTGGGATCACATGCAGGATGCACTATGGAGATTATTTTGGCAAGATTATAATGTAGGAAACTCTTCATCCTGCATGTGATCCTTAATCTTGGGGAGCCACTTTCCATACTTGGAAAATAAAACAACTTTACATGTTTACTTTCATAAAGTACCCACCTGCCATACTTTAAAGTAAAATAATCTCACATATACTACAAAAATGGGTTTCACTAATCATTAGGTTCATAAATAGGCTAAGCCAAAACAAATCAAATTACATTATGTCTTAGTATGATAAGTGAATTATTAGATTCTTCACCAAAGTATGTGCCTGAAGGATATGGCCAGTCACAAAACATTTTTGTAGAAGATAAAAAAACTTTACTAAAAAGGACGGAATAATTTTTTGGGGTGTGTGTGTGATGAAACAACTGTCTTTCTGGGTTCGGCTCCAAGTGTGGAAAAAGACACTGGAGACATGGAGACTGCTTGGAAAGATGGTTTATTGTTGGACAGGGCCACATGGCTTGAGCCCTGAACAGAAAAGGTGATCACCTGCTTCAGTGTTGGTGGAGAAGAAGGGCTGAGGGAGGGGCTTGCTAGGCTTTTTATAACCTGTTCAGTCCCACCTCTCTGTTCCTTGTTCCTGTGTAAGCAATGTATTCTGATTGGTTGTCAGACTCCCATGGGACCATGCAGTGGCAACTCTCTAGGCTGTGTTTTGAATCCAAGTATGGTTGAGTTCTCAGATGCCATGTGGTGAGTTGGGTAAAGTTCCTTAATCCCATCCCCTGCAGCTGAAGTGGAGTCTTTATTATGTAAAGGGGACTAGCTTGGCTTTCTTAATGGCCCATTGACAAAATGGAAATGGGCAGGAAGCTACAGGCAGCTATTCTGTCTTTTAAAACATGTTTCTTTCTTTTCACATCCAGAGAAATATTCTGCCTTTTCAATATTTCCTAGGATATTTCATTTTTCTGGGAGAGGGCTGGGTGATAACTTCCTACAGGGGAATTACTCTACTATTTTGAAGAGTTTTTTACTCCAAAAGACAAACCATAAATTCAAAGATAACCTATGCCAAATGATTTTAATATTTGATTTCAAAAATCACAGCATAGTATTGTATTAGTTTCACAGAATACAGATTGAAAAAGTTGAAGCAGCAACCAGAAATAATATTCCTGACAAAACACTAAATAAAAAATGGTGAGTATCAGTCCCCTCCTGCAAATCGTAAAGCACTATTGAAAGAAATATCCAGGTCCATTTCCAAGCTGGGAGAAAAGCACTGGAAATAGGATGGAGGCTGATTGGAAAGAAAGGTTCAATTCATTGATGAAGCAGAATCACCAACCACATATGATTCTGGGACAGTTGACAAAATAGAGTTTAGAGTGGGTGGATTTTATAACTTGTGGAATCCTATGGGGTCATGGCTGGCTATAGGTGTTTTGAGCTAATTTTGTTAACCTTCGCTTGATTGTGTTGCTTATTGAACTGCTTATCTGAAGTTTCTGCCTGACCCAGTCTTTCTGAATGGATTAGCAAATCTGCATTTCTATAAACCGGCCTCAGTTTCTGCTTGGGGTAGGGAAACTGGGACTGGCTTCTACCTCCCTTAAGGTTTTTTTCCATTTCTTCCTTAGGAGAAATATTCTATCCTGACTTTTTAAGATTTCCCAAAATATTTCACTCTTGGGGGAGGGGCTTCCCACAGCACCATCTTCCACAATTACTATTTTCCTCATACATGAAACTCTGCCACATTCTTGCTTTACAGTTCAAAATGAGAGGATTTATAGAACTATAATTGCTTAGTATTTTTATTTGAATCTAAAAACATTCCTGAAAATAAAAGTGGCATTGGGAGAGCCAACTATCAAGTGGTTAAAGCACCAGCTAAAAAGCAGAAGATTGTCAGTTCAAGTCAGCCTTAGCTTAAAGCTGGCTGGATGATTTGGGGCCAGTTACTTTCTCTCATCCCAACCTACCTCACAAGGTTGTTATGGAGAAAATAGAGGAGGAAGGTATCTTCAGCTGTTTGTTAGGACATAATTATAATTTAACAGTGTCTGTTTAGAAAATAAGACCCTAATGCTTCAATAATTTTGATGAAATAGACATTTTACAGAATGCCTTCATAGAAAACATAGCTCCCAAAATCTACTACTACATATCTACTATACTAGCATGTATCATTTGGAGCATCCAAGGAACATAAATGGGGACAAAAATCATAAAGATAATAAAATACAAAAACACCACCATGATTTTGTTTTATATTGAACTAATTTTTAAATGTCATTGCTTTGGTAAGAAAAAGGAATTAGTAGTGCAATTAAAAAAAAAATGAAATAAGAAACAGTAACAAAAAGGGAAACATTTATAGTAAACAACTCAATAAAAAACCGTTAAAACATGACCACATGGAGTAAAACAGACCAGTCTTTCAATTTTGTTACTCAAAAGGATGAACACAAATCAATCCAAGAGTGCACTACTTCAGACTTACAATGTTTCTACAATAACAAAAACATTTTATTGCACCCAACGTTCAATACAAATTATTGCTCTTCCTTTATTTGTAACTTCCAAATTCAATTAAATATATGCAACTATTTCTATATCATAACCCTTGTAACCAACTACCATGTATTTGGTTGCTAGGTTTGCTCAACAAATCACATTAAAAAATTTGGCCAGCTTATGATTGAGCATGTTGTGTGAAATATATGTTTTTCTTCCCCATTTCCCCAAGCCTTCTAATTTCAAAATATAAAATAAACTGGGACTGATATTAGTGGCACAATACGGAGACTTCCTGCTGTAGCTATACTTGTTGAATTCCGCCTTCAGAGGCACATTAAATTCTTACCACCATATATTTGGGTGCCTTTTTTTAATTAATCGTAACGAGAAATCTAAAATCAGATTTAAAAAAACAATTACTTTTTAAGATGTTGAAGGGCAAACTGCCAGTTCACTTACTTCCGCCAAAAGTAGACTTGTCGTCTTTACGTCATCACTAGGCGCCCTAATTGCTGCGTGCCCAGGCACAGCGAAGCCGTACTATTAATGCTGCGTAGCCCTAGATAGAATCTTGCGGAGCGGATACGGTAGTGGAAGCAAAGCGGGAAACTTGTACTGGCGGTGGTGAGACGTTGCTTTCCCATGGCTCACAATTCTGGTTGGGTTTGCTCTTACTTCTTGCAGGGCAACTGCCGTTTCGGTGATAGATGCTGGTATGAGCATCCACGCGGTGGCAGAGCCAGCCAGGCCTTTGGCCAAAACTCAGGTACGAAGGGAATTTGGGTTCTCTTAAGGGTTGCCGCTTGAGATTTCTAGGGTTTCTTCCCGCGGGGAACGTGGCTGCATAATGGACTTGCTCGGGAGAGAAAGGTCCGCCTTTGACTGACAGAGTGTTGGTTTTTAACTTAGTTTGCTTGTATTTTGTTCTGAACCCCCCACCCCACCCCAGACTCTTTTACAGTGACAAGTTGAAACCAAACTTGACAGTATTTTTTTTTAAATTAGGATGCTTGGTCTAATTTATTTACCGCTCTCCTTGCGAAAGAATCCTATAGCAGTTAACAAAGTTAAAACAAACTTCAAAAAATATTGAAATTCATTAAATAAGATTAAAACAAAGTGCGTTACAAAAACAGTGTTAATGGGCAACGCAGCCTCTTTCTGTAATAGTTACTATTCAGGCAATGTGTTTGAAGTTATCCTACTCATCATGAAATAAATGTGTTAGTCTTCTATGGATTTCAGTGGGATCTGCTTTAAGTAGAACTAAATTCATCCCGCCTGAATATCTTGCTCATTTAGGATTTTTCCACTTCAGCTGCCAGAGCAACTGTAATTTGCAATTTTTGAAAAAAATCACCTGGTTCCAAAAATACTGAGATGCTATTAAAGTTTGTTGAGCTTTTGGACACCCATAGAAATTAAACAATTAAAGGCTGTTTGTTTCCATTCAGTGTAAATGATAGTTTATACAGACTGCTCTTCATCAGCTGTTGAAACACTGGCTCAATATGGTCTCTGCAGATTCTCAGAATTTTAAAGGCCAGTACAGATAAAGATCCAAGGTCAGACTGCCTACCAAATGGCTAGCACCTGTGCTGCTATTGTCCTGCCTCTTTAAGGAGTCTCCCAAGCTAGCACAGCAATTGTTAGTTATAAAAACTGAGCAGAGATGCAGCTGGGTATGGTGTGGGGGAGGTGTGTGTGTACCTAAAGCAGCTTCTAAGCAGATGGAAATACTGCCCTTTATCAGTAGTATTTGGAGGAGCAAGAGGGAAAGAGTGGAGCAGTGAATACTAGCCTTTGAGTGCTGTGTACTGGAATCCCCTGACTTAGATATATATAAAAGAGCCCATGTCAAAAGTATAATTGGAATACCCCAAAGTTGAGATATCTAACCATATGTGTAGATGTAGCTTAAACTAAGGGAGTTCAATAAACACTCCACAAAAAAGGTTTTGGCTAAAAAGGGGGTGTAA